GGGGGGTTGAAGAGAGAGTCCCGGACCGGCGGTTGAAAAAGAGTCCGAACCGGGGAGGTGGCGGGCTGGTTCCCGGCGGGGTTCGAGAAGCGGCGACCCAGGTTTGGGCCAAAGCCTGAGGCGCCTCTCGACCCCCCCGCGTCCGTCCTCCCCTCTCCTTCCGCGGCGTTTGGTCTCGCCCGCGCCTCCGCTGCTTCCCTGCCATGTTGGATTGCACGGCCGACGCCGGGGAGAAGTTGGAAGTTTAGTGCCCGTCGGGGCGGAAGGCGCGCCGAGCGGGGCCCGAGGAGCGAGACTGTCCCGGCCGCGAGATCTCCCCTTCTACGCCCCTCAGGAGTTGGTCCTCGGTCCGCCGCGGCTTCCCACCCGCCCCTCAGGTCGCCGCCCCGATGGTGCTGCAATAGCGCGGGGGAGGCCGGCTGCTGCGCCGCCGCCACCCTCCGGGAGACGCGGGGCCTGACGGACCCCCCGCACCCCACACACCCCGGGGCGAGCTAGAACCAGCGACGAAGCCGTCGGAGCGGGGTTGGCAATCCCGGCCGGGCGCCGGCGGCGGCCGCCGCCATGAACAACAGCCACCAGCAGCAGCAGCAGCAGCAGCCCCCGCCGCCGCGGAGGGTCTCCAACGTGGGCTCCATGCTGCTCACCCCGCAGGAGAACGAGAGCCTCTTCGGCTTCCTGGGCAAGAAATGCGTGGTGAGTGTGGCGGACGGGGAAAGGAGAGGCTTGGTTGGGCCTGATTGCCTCGGGGGGGGGGGGGGGCCCGGCCCACCCGGGGGGGGGGGGGGGGGGGCAAACCCTCCCCCCTTCCCCTCCCCTCTGCCTTGACCTCTCAGGAAAGGGGGTTTCGGGGCGCAAGGAGGAGGAGGAGAAGCGGGGCTGCTCCGAGGGGGAGGCGTGATGATGCAAGAGCCCTGCCGGTTTTTCCGCGCCCCCCCCCCCAAAAAAAACCCCACCCCCTCATATTTCCTTTCGGGCGAGGGTCGCTTCGAATTTGGGGAGACCAGAAGGTTCCCGGCTGGAGCCCTTCCCACGGAACAGATGCCTTTTTTTTTCCTCCCCCATTCCCCGGTTCTGTATTGTTGGGGGGGGCGGGGGTGGAAGATCAAACCCCCAAAAAGCTTTGGCTAAATTTGTACCGAAAAAGAAACAAAGGGGGGGGGGGGGATGCGCGAGAAAAAGATGCACGGCTTTAACTCTCCAAGGGGGAGAAGACTTCCGCGGTCTTTTTTTTTTTCTTCCGTCTCTCTCTCTCTCTCTCCTCCTTTTCTTTTTGAGCTGGGATAATAAATACGAATTCCAGGTGATCCAAGCCACAAGAAGGCAGAGCCTGTTGACTTAGAGTAGGCCCATTGGATCCGCTTTGGCTTGGCTGAAAAGACAGAAGAAACCTGCCTGGGGTTTAGCTTCCAACAAAACCCTTCACCCCTTTTGGTGACTTGTTTCAGGGCAAAGGCTTGTTTTTAGCTAGCTCTTCACTTTTTTTTTTTTTTTGGCTATGTTAAGATATTATTTTTCTCTTCCACTTCCTTTTTTTCCAAACAGGTATGATTATCATGGATTTCAGAGTATACCGGAAGTGCTCTGTGGTTTTTAATAGTGTGTGTGTCAGCAATGGAGGTGTTGCAACGTTTTTGGTGTGTGTGTGTGTGTGTGGAAAAAGTTCAGCTGGTTATAAGGAAGCTGGAAGTTCATTTTATACCTGCATAGTTTCTGAACTTTCAGGAAATGAACTCTGAAATGAGAATAGCGCTCTGAATTCTATACTCATTTGCAGAGCACATACCAAATTTCCCATAAAATATAATATAATATACATATACAAATATAAATATATATATATATATATAATATATTTTAGTGGGGGAGAGAATACAGCTCATTCTGAAATTTTGGTAGTCCTCATGTAGCTGTCAGATACAGATACTAGGTAATAGCTCCTCG